AATTTTACCCATTTTGTCAATTTTTACACTGAAAGTCGAACATAACATGTCAAACTCTACCATAAACGACATATTGTTAAGCTTTTGATGAAAAGTCACACATTACAGATCAATTGTTTTATAATCTTTACACTGTATTTCAATAAAGAATAAAATACTAACCTTAATTCACACTGTTTAACAAGAACATTCAACTGACATTTCAGTATTACAAAAAAGCAAGTTAATTTCATCCAGCAAACTTTAAAAAAACCAAACTACCATTTTTTCTGTATCTTTACAACAAGTAAACTTAAACAACATCCAAGTCAATTGTCAAATATTTCCATGTAAAGATGTGAGCGGGACAAATGCCTTTCCTCTGCTTCTTGTTATAATCCACACACCAAGAGATTTGGTCCCCACAAGTCAACCCGACCACAACAGAACAATTACCAAGTGCAATAAATCTTAACTAATCAGGGCTTCTAAAGCTAGGTTCCAATCCAGCAGTTCCAGGAATCAGTCTCAGACTGAGGGCGGGGTGTAATCGGTGGGCCCCACCAGTCACCGTAGGAAGACAGATTGTGATTAACACCTGTCTAGCCCCTGTGTTCTGGGTACCTCACCTCATTAGCATCTCGTTAGCCTCCTTCGTTAGCCTCAGCCTGCCTCAAGCCATCGTCAAATTCCATCTCTGATTTCTCCAGAATCCTTCCTCGGCTCCCCACTGAAGCGACTGCTACTTTATCAGTAAAGAATGACATGTTACTTACTAAATAATTAAAAAATGCAGGCACTCTATTGTCAGATAATTGATAATATTGAGCAGGTAATATTTAATTAAATATTTAAAAAATTAAAATTTCTGAAACTAATTTTTCTGCTTTTTTCTAAATTCTAAACATTCTCTTTGTTAAAGTTAAACTTCTCTTAAAATATAAAAGAAAAATGTACCACATCAAAGTTCAGAAAATTCAGAAATATGTTCATACAGAACATTACTAACGAAAATATGTAACTATTCTAATTTGACAAATGTGTGATTGATTGAAATAGCTACGAAGACAAGCCCTTTTAGTCACGGATGTCATGAGTCACAGTGTATAATGATATGTACATGAAATAAATTATGTCTGTTTCATAAGGAAAATTCATCATCAACTGTCAGATCACTATCTGTAAAGCCATGCTCATGATATACTCTTTCAAAACATCAATAACAAAGAGAATGTTTTTATCTGACATGAAATAAACAAATTAAAAAACATCATTACAAACAAAATGTTCATACTCACACAAAGGATGGTATAAGGGCTAAAATTGTAAATTTTGAAAACATGAAAATATTTTTTTCCAAGCAAAATGGTCATTCTGAAGCAAAATTTGAACTTATGTTAAAAAGTCTGCTCAATGCAACTGTACTGACAATAAAGGTGCACAAAAGAATTAGCTGCAGTGCGAACAACAGAAAAGCAAGAACAAGCAGCATAGCCGTTTGACTTTGTAGCCAAGACAAGAGAGCTGTGGGGAGCCCGAGGTTTTTGCAGAGAACGATTGTTGAATGACGATAAATGTTGGTTAATAAGCTCTGTAGACATCTTTACCTGACAGTATTAGAGTAGTGGAAACCAGTCTAATGCTGTTAGGTAAGATGGCGCCAGAACCTAGACTGTTCTCACCATTCCTGCCGCGACGGGCATCTCCGAGTGCGTAGCGGTGACATACGTACGTAGCCAGGCGAAAGTGAACACGTACGAAAGTTGATGTGCTGTTCTGTTAGGCGTGAGGAAGGCCACGAGTGCAAAGCTTGAGTCTATCTCCAGCGACAAATATTTAAGCAGTGGTCGAAGTAGTATACACTAAATTCTCAATGGCAGTATCCCTGTATGAAATCCCTGAACAGACAAAGGACACAAACTATGTTGATCTGGGATAATCATCCCGAGTAGCTTTCCTCTACAGCGCTCACCGTCATCCATGTGTGACCGAACAAAGGAGAAGTCCAACACAACTTCCTCGGGAAAAAATCAATCTTCAAATTCAAATGTAACTCCCTAGAAAAATGTCACTGGCAACAACACAACTCCCAAGCCCAGCAAATCCTCGCTTGAATACCAATCTAACCCAACGACAGGGGAACGACCAACATAGCCAACATGTTCTAACTGACGTATCCCGAATCCGCTTTCTAAATTTATACCCAAGAGGCCGTTAATGACAGCTTCCATACGACTAAAAACTGGTTTGTGAGGGCAGTCGACTCTCCCACGTCTCGGTGCATCGCGCGGTCCACCGGGCTCCTCTCCCGACCTTCCGACTCGCAACACATCGACCAGAATAACCACAAGTCATTGTGTGGATGCTTAAATCCTGGAACGTAGCGGCCCTCTTTCGCCAATCCCTACTGAACCGCACCTTTAGAGGGTAGTCAAACCAACACTCTCTCACATGAAAAGGAAAACCGGGAGCTATTCGCTCGCTCATCCATTGACTGTTGACAAAGCCTGGCCAAGCAACTCAATCAGCGAGCGGCCTGACCTTTCTATAGTCTGCCTTTACAAAGTTTACAGCCTTGTTCCCTTGAAGGGTCGCTCAACCTGCTTGATGAGCCAAAACCTGTTCCACAGGGACGTGCCTGAATGCCTTAATGCTACTCTTCAGTAGATCACTAGCCACGTAGGTAAAAAAGTTGTAAAAAGGTCACATTGCATAGCGGTCACAAGGATTCAGTAACCAGCTAGCGGTGTATGCCTTTCTGTTCGTCAATATTTGCCAGCCATCTAATCTGGCCTCGTCTGCCTGCAAAGCCAGTGTCCCGACTGCTAGTGTTACCTTCCCCCGACCACATGCCCTCTGCCGCACAGAAACGCTGTGTCAGATCAGACCTACGTCAACCCACCATCAAGCCAGCAGACCTAATTTACACAACTACTACACATTCCAATATGAACGGTTACCCAAGTCCCTGGGATGTGCACCTATCACGCCAATAAAGGCTGGATTTATAATGGCTGTTACCTGGTTACAGGGATAAACTTTGCTCTGACGATATGATGTGATGGCACTGGTTTCCATAGGAACCACATAAACGGGAGGAGGCATTTGGGGCCACTCCGTTCACTTTTTATCTCTAACACTGAAGCATGGCAGCATTTTTCAATTACTCGGCACATGAAACTCTCTGCACTCATCAAGCAAAGTCTATTGAATTACAAACGTTTTTTCCATTGCTACTTTGTTCTGACATTCAACAACCCATCAGTTATCACCTGAAGCTAATCATTAATCTTCTCTTCATTTTAATAAACTATTACTAAGCACATGAAATTTATGGCCCTAAACTCGAGCTTTCTCACAATAATAAACCTCAATATGCTATTAAATCATAACACCATTCCTAACACGTAACACCAAGACTGATAATTAAACATATCCTAACTACTGTGTGAACAATCATACCCTCCATTGTAAACGACATCTAAACTCATGCTACCACAATTTATTTGAAGAAATAGTTCATAAATCAAATCAAGCCAAAGTATGTTAAAATAATGCCAGTTAATTAAAGATGATGTCATGCACTTGTGTACAAACAAGATTAAAACAGCCGCCAGAGAATATTCTTAACCAGTTTCCTAATGAAAAGCTAAATCTTTAATGGTATCCACTGTGTAAAAACTGTATTGATGATATAAAGAAAGATGGCCTCGTCACATTCCCAGAATAAGCAAATTCCACAAGATCCAATAAATCCCATTAATCAATGAAGCACCTGCGCTGCTATGTGTTAACAATGTATGAGACAGCAAGTTCCCGACTTGGAGTCGACACCAGCTAAGCCACAATATCAGGCAAGAATGCATATGTCAATGTATTCAGTTCAATACACGAATCAAACCTACTTAATTCTCCTCAGCGACCGAGATAAATAAATCTGTTTGTTTATCTTGCTTTGATAAGTCATGAATTGGAAACAGCTTTGATAGCAATCAAATTTGCTAGGGGCTTTGCAAGCTTATTGGCAAGGACCTGTTCTCTATCTTATCATACCAAATCAACATTTACGGTGTTTCAATCTATTAAAATTGATCATATTTCAATTTTTTCATGTTCTCCCCTGGAGATTTATCAAATTAAAGTGCTTCAAGTCTTTGATAAGAAAACTAACCCCTAAAAAAGTAGTCATGCTTTTTAAACTAGTTTGACTTTCTTAATCTCAGATTGTATGTATTATTTTACATCAGTGTCGCAACCAATTACCGACATGACACAAGTAACCCAAAATACAACTTGAATGAACTTTGTTGGGTAAATATTAATTTTACCGAAAATATCACATAAAATTTGAAACATCTGGTAAATATTATAATAGCGACTGTCTCATTATTCGGCCACATGTTTGAAGCTCCTACACATTGCGGAATGACCTTCAAAGTATCTTCAGTAAGCTGTCTCCTACTGGGAGATAAGAAGGGAATTAAGTAATGGTGATAAATTATGATCCTTCGTTATCACTCAAAACCAAACAGATACAAAGGAATTGCCCCTATGGTCAGATAAACCATTAGTGTAGGTTAAACCTAGGCTTGCTTCATACAAAATTTATCCCAGATACGTTGGTATTACTACGTGAATGGATTTGCTGATATGCTTTTCCAACTAGTTTTTTCTCGTTCATGTTGTAAGTGGATCACTAATGTCCAATTCTAACATGTTTTTTTCAATATGTTATGCTTAAAAACCCAATCAGCCATATATTCATAATGTAACATCAAATTGTACCTTAAATATTCCTTATTACAGGTAAGCACGTTATGTTTTGACTTATGAATTATGGAGAATTATTTTATTAACATTTGGGTAATAAAAACGTTTGCAGGCTTTTAGCAAATGTGTTAAACTGAAACGTCCAAAGTATGTGACACTCGACTACAATAACATGGGCCTACTACCCGAAACTAGCAGGTCTACCTCTACTGTCGAACACTCAAAATCCAATTTCTCATTCACGTTCTTACCTGTCGATCTTTTTGAAATTTTAAGAAGGCATCTTGAAGGCTTGTTTGTTTTGGTTCCCCCCAGTCAATGACGAATGAATTAGAACTTTTAGAAAATGTAGGCTTTTTCTTTGACTCAATTGGCATGGTTGGTGGTAAAATGTCACATGTCTTTCTCTCACGTTCAGCCATTTTGTCAACATCAGTGACAACTGGTGAGACCTTTCTGGATTGTGTCAGATCTAGAAGCATATTCACATGCGAGTTTTTGTCCAGTCTGATGGACCAAGTCAATGTCTATGTCAGCACATTCCATGGATTTATCAGTAGCAAGTGGAGTGTTTTGTGATTGAGCGAATATTACTGACGGAATACACACCGGGAAGGTGCTTTGTTTTGAAGCTGAGCGCCTTGGAAATATGTAAACACTAAGTATGGCGTCGTAATTTTGTAAGCTCGGTCTCCATTGGTTAAAACGTTGAAACATCAACCAATCACATATCATATGTTATATCTAGTTTACATTGGTTACAGAACTCCCACTTTGACCATATCCCAAAAGCCTCTTGAATATTTAATCGTGAAAGGTGATCAATCGGATATGATCAGTGATCCATGCCATGATCAAAGAACATAAATACCGACTAGACTCAACATGACGTAGCGGGAATGTGAAGCACAAGTAGAATTCTCCTTATGCATAACGATTGCTTATAAAAAATCAAAAGAAAATAGTTCACCGGATCTGTTATTATAATTATAACCATTTTATTACAATTAATTTAAAAAAGACAATGTTTGGTACTACCACATGGCGAGACGACAACATTAGTTCCAGATAACTAAGAATGGGTCCCTGTTAATGCCCACAGCGGACGAAACTGATCAATAACTGAAACGCGACCCCATGAGCAATGAATGGGAGATAACTCCTCATGGCTTGCCAGCAATGCGTTAAGCGCAAATAATTGACACCATGTCCAAGTTCGCCCAAAATTACCACTACTAATAGCAACATAATAGTGTTATATTGAATGTCAGCGGCAAACATTATTTTGCATCAAGTATAAAACATAACCTGTGGATGCCCAGCCCAAACACCGATGGACTTTCAAATGTGAAATAAACGTCTATTTGCTTTGCCCTTTCAATGTGACGAGACAACGAACTCGATGATGTTCGCAGGATATAAGGCATAAATGTGAGGACTCGTTCGCTAGGACAAGCCACGAGACAAAAGCATTTCTAAAGTAATATATGTTAGATAATATAATATTAACTGATGTAAGTTTCAACGCATGGTGATACGCTGTGACTGGAGTCACAACATTGTACAGGGAAACACACTACTCCTTGACTAGCGTACATGGATATTCAAAGTGCGATATTAAACAACAACCATTCCGACGCTATCTAAAACAGATTCACACGCACAACTTATCTGGAAGCCAGCCATTTCGGTTTGGTATTCAGCATTTCCCACACTGACTGCCACATCGAAATCAACACAGAGTGTCTTCCAAACATTTGTTCGTATATATCTGTACTTAGATCACGTACGGATTGTGTTAAGCGTATACCAAATGAAAAATACTCCACATACGAAAGTTCATTTATTATCTACCTGTTACTAACCACAACAAATCCGGTTTCAAACAGATATTGTGCAGGTCCGACGTCACTTGCCTCCACACCCACATCCCCGCAAACCAACCATCTTTACCGCCCCCTAAACACGACCCTGCAGACCCCCCTTCATCGGTCACACCCATTATATTGCCTTGTTGCTCTCACGCGGCTTCAACTGCCACCGTTCTATATTCGTTCACACAAACCTCGATAAAATGAATTACCCAAATCGCACAAAACATTCACTAACCTACCTATACGCTACTAATCTTTTAAGTGACATTAAATAGTGTTTCTATTTCCAGGACAATTCTAATTATCCATCACCCTTAAAATAGTTGTCTGAATTCTTTGTATTTGTACTCAGGTAGAAAAAATGTGACTGTAATTAGCGGAGTTAATTCTTCAATAATCCCCGTAAGTGTCAATCCCTCCCTCAAATTCCCTCCGAAATGAATCCACCCATATGTGCTAAACGCTTAACAATACACCACACCTATGATAGAAATGCCCCACTTACATTTACGGCTGGTCAAAGCTAATGAAAAGAATGTATTAATGACTTGAGGCACACCATTCGTGGTTTTCAAAGTTCAAAACAGATTTCCTCAATAATCACGTGACTTGTCCACACCGAAACGTGTCAATTTCACGATCACTGTCTCTTTCAAGCCTCCGAAGCCACGCCCACTGTTTCATTAGGAACATCCTGTTATGGCGTCGGCCGGTTGAGTCTGAAATGTACAACGTACGTCACTTAGTGGGGATTTGAAAGGTGTCAATTTCACAATACAACGGGAACTCTATTTGGTCATAAAAACGACATGAATGGGACATATCCCCATGGTACCAACCAGTACAGTACACTCGGAAATAGTCACACTAGAACCTGATTTTTTTAACAAGTTGTGGAATCACAATCAAGAGATTCACACAACACAATGGTTGTGTTCCTGGCTGTAAAACCATTCACAATTATTTCAAAAAATCATATACAATATGTATGCCTACACTGACATTGTCAAATGAACGATCCTTTTTCTCGAAGATTTGGTTTATTTGGATAAAGGGTTGCACTAAATATCATCATCATCATCATCATCATCATCATCATCATCATCATCGCATTCTACGCAAATCTAACTTAATAAAATATACATATCATCATCATCATCATCATCGCATTCTACGCAAATTTAACTAAACAAAATATAAATATCATCATCATCATTATCGCATTCTACGCAAATCTAACTAAACAAAATATGAATATCATCATCATCATCTTCATCATCATCATCGCATTCTACTCAAATTTAACTGAACAAAATATACATATGCAGAGCACATAGATTCATATCCGTAGCATTGGTTACATTGTTTGGAACAAACATCACCTCTATTTACGCTCTTGAATGGTTTCTGTGTGCACACTTGATACGTTATGATGTGTATGTGTGTAGTCCCTTGGTCGGATCGGCGATGTTGTACAACACGGAACCAAGACGTATTAAGGATTAATATCACTTCACACTTTAATTGTCTTGTTTAGAAGTCAACTAAATTAGACTTCTCTAAATACGCATGTTTTTTTCCAGGTTGCATTGATATAAAAAAGAAGAAGTAAAGTTGTAAAAGTATTTGGATTTATGGCAAAGGAGTTTAAAAAGTCAGATCTGGCGTGATATTATTTGTTTTAGTATAACAAAAAATGAGGATTGTAAATGGTTTGTCATAAATCAGTTTCCTGTCCATGGGGTGTTTTGTTGATGCGGTCGATGGTTGAGAACACTTTTTTGGATAATTTCGAGTTCAAGATAGTTTTGAAATCGGTGTGGTTCGTAGTTGATGATGATGATAATGATGTTGGAGATTTAACGAGCGCTTCCGGTGTTGCTGATGGTTCTTAGTGTTCCGGAAAAGTACAAAACCCTGTTCTGAACATTATATCCTAATTATAACTCACCACTTAGTGACCTGCGAAATATATTACTTATATGTATCATGTAATTTTATCATATATTAGTTATTAAATCTGACTTATAGGACATGAAAAATCGTGTTCTGAAAAGTACGTAAAAGTCACTACATAGTGAGAGTTGGAAAATTCAATACTTATACCAATTTTATTAAATAACAGTGATTCAATGTAATTAATAACAAGCCATGGAAAATAGCATGAATCCAGATTTACCACAAAATATATAATTATCATAAAAACTAATTAAAATAAAATATATTTTTCACATTTTAAACATGAATGAATAACACTACCCATGACTTTCTTGAACATTATTTATTTCAATTCTCACGAATTATATGCAAAATATCTAAAACTGCACCATGTACAAGAAACGGCTGATGGTGAATACAGGTTGTTAATGGTATTCAGGCGTTTGAATTTTATTTCAACAGTTTGAATTTTAAATTTGGTATTCTCTATAGTCCCTCTATGTCGACAGGTGGAGAGCGCTGGCCACGTTGTACCAAACAGGCCCCACCCACCATTCCATTCAAGTTAAGCATGTGTCTATTCATACCATAGCCTCAGGCATGCATTCAAATTATGGCAATTTTACAATAAAGGCCCGCAGCGGGAGACTGTCAATGGTTTAATATAACCATGAAACATATTGGAGAGCTTGCTGCTTTTAGTGGTACTCATTGTCGGTTTTACAATAAACGGACGTTATAGCGAGGAGGCCATGTGACCTAACATGGTACCTCGTTATAAAGAATATTTCTTCGGTTAAACAAGTTTAAACGATTATTTGAATGGTCATAGTTCACGTGGTTATGAAACGAATTAAACGAAATTAAATATGAAAGAGTTTCGTCGACACGAGACAGACATGAGTGGATATTTGTCCGGTGGTAGTGTCATTTTAACCGAATAACACTCTATTGCTCTACACGATCGAGCGTAATGCCTTAATTGTGATAGCAAATGATATATAGTTATTCGTTTGAATTTTTCTAATCTACATTTGTGATACAGAAATAACGATAAAAGAGGCACAGAAGGTTTAGTCCATTTACGAAGAATTCCGTTATAAAATAATTTCTAACTAAAGGAAACACGTGAATAACTAAACATGTGTGTTTCAATTCCGCATGTGTTAAACGCATATCTAAACGCATATGTAAAATATATGCCAGTTTAATCAAAATTCTAAGTCAAACCAAACAGCAATGCATTTAACGAAACACGTTATAATAATTTATGAGCATGATTTTGATTAAGGCCCAAATAAACTGTCAAGTTAAAATTCAATAAAAAAGATGATTTTATCGGAAAATAATTTGTCCTGAATTTATTACGAATGGTTACATTTAACTATTCAATTCTACAGTATAAGGGAAAAGGCAATACTTAATGAAAAGGAGTGACTAACTGTCTCCCTTCTTGTATCGATACCATCGAGTATCGCTAGTCAGAGGCACTGCAATTTACAGAGGATATAACCCCTCAAATACGTACCACACACGTGAATACTATCAGGTAAGTTGTTTGCTTGTGGCGAGAGTGGCCGAGCCGATGTCTACCTGAGCGAGATGTGTCACCATCATTAAACAGAACAGACTCTACCTGTAATTACATATAACTGCTGATGCTTAATTGTCTCTAAGAATATCAACCTGTCTGTCAGTGTAAATTCAACACCTACCTAATCGCAGTCCAGAGAGGGTACACCGCGTAACATGCGTGTCCGCCACCCAACTTTCACCTGTATGCGAAAGCTCTCTCACCTTGGATGCGCGTCCATATGACAGAAGGAATTTGATTGGTTACAATCTAACTCAGGCCGCGAGCGTTTTGGCGCGGATATTATTCTTTATAGAATCTAGCTGCGCGCGCTGACTATGACTATTATTAAATACAAAAGTGTTGAATTTGTACAAGTTTTCTGTTTTGAAAGATGGCTCGATGTAAGAGGGGGTGCGGTTTGCAGCCAATCACCAGGTTAACACAGCATAGGCGTTTCGTACTGTCTTTGTTTATGAAATGGTCTGATGGTTGCTAAGTAGCAAGCGGCATAATGTATTTGTGAAAAATCTTTACATAACGACGTTTGTTCTTAAGGAAAAAGGTTGAACATATTCAGTGGATTCGTAAGTCCCTGATGAAACCAGTTTGACAGGTCTTTAAAGGCAGTGCTCTAAACTGTCATGTAGGAAAACTTGCGAATTAAACGAACCAATCGCTAATGTGTTCGTATCGGTCTAGTAAATGTCAGGTTACAACTGAAGCATTTAATCGACTTTTTATCCAATATAAGTACAAAAGCTCAGGTAGATCTTCTTATAAATTTCAAATGAAAGATCTTGGAAAGAACTAAAATATATTAATCAGGGGTTTGTAGATTCTGCTAATTTTATCTCAAATTCGCACATTAACTCTCAAAAGCATATTTTGAAACGTGATTTTGGTATTTTATTGTCAATTTCCCCTCTCTCAGAAAACACACCTTTGTATATAACACAAGCACGTTTTTTCTTTTCAAATACATCAAATTTGTAAATTACGCCTGTGGTTTTTAATATATAAGAATTAATAGTTGTATCTTTGAAACACAAGTGTGAATCTTTTAAAATAATTCGTTATCACGGGGCAGATAACGAGGAGGTATATTCTAAAGATGGAAATTTACCTGTCATACCTAATTTACCGGGCTACCTGCAGCCACATCGTTCCGTATCTCGTGATGGGGGAATCTCCGAGCGCCGGGGAAACATTCCTAACAACAATTAGTCGAAGTTGTCATTCAGCGCAAACAGAGGACAGTTGAAATTTGAAAGCACGAAAAAATTGTGATTCATGATCACAATTTTGAAAAAATATATATATGGTTATATGGATTGAATTAACTAACGTTGATGATCCATGTGCAACTGTTCTGATTCATGATCACAATTTTGTATTTTGAATTTATGGAAATAAAACTGAATGATTCAGCTATTTGCTTCCACAGCTTCTCAAACGAACTCTCCAAATTCACGAAAAGTACTTTGGTAAAGAGTATCTCTGAAATAGGATTGTGCAATCAAGTTGGGTTGAGTTTAGAGTTTCAGGACCTGCTCTGTAAATTTAGTAAAGAGTCGGTACAGGGTTATCTGCCTTTGAAATACACATGAACGACACACTAACGAATCGTTTTCTTTATCTGGGATCAAAAAACTATTTAGAGAAGAACAGACATACGATTAATTGTGATAATATCTATGCGGAAAAAATCGAGTCGTTTATCCAATCTAAACCATTGACGAAAACGTGAAACATGAACGGGGCAAGGATACTGCATCAACGTCAACCAACTGTTCTTATGACGCAGCGTTATCACTTTATGACGTCACGGATGACGTCATATCGCTTTGTTCAAAACAATGCACCAATACGACGTCATATTTTTTCCCACTGACAATGAACTTGGTCGCTGAAATGCATATGTAACCTTTATGATTATTTCAGAAATAAAAGAGTATACACGATAAACAATCTCGACCTTTTCCGTGACCATTCGGCTTGTTTCGGAATAACCTGAGAAATCACGGATGATGAGTTTTGAAATGAACACATCTCCACCCATATCCTTTCCGCCAGCTGAAAGACGAACCGAGACAGGCTGGTTGAGTGTCTGTGTCGGACTGTAATGTCGTTGTCAACAAAACGACAGCTACAACATCGTCACGAGCCAGTGACCTACCACTGTCTACGAATCCCGCAGTGAGTTTCCACACGACTGACTTCGAATAAAAACGTGCACGTTGTTTGACGACTCCCACTGGGGTATTTAGTGCTGTCGGTGGCGTGGCATCCAAATGGTGTGTCTCCAATTTTAATTTTTCATTCGACAATGGTGTTTCTGGCGACGACGATAACGATGAAGATGAATAGTTTAAATTATTTCATACGGTTATCTATGACAGTAGATATTTGTTTTTCCCTGATGTTAAACCAATCGTCCCTCACATCATCATAATCGTCATCATCAGCCAAATCATAATTTCTATCATCATAATGTTCTAACTGGTCATCGGGGACGGTGGGCATTCGTCACCACTCGCATGTTTCCGTAATCTGAAACATGTTTCAGATTCGGGTTGTCCCGAAATGACACGAATTAGTCACGAATGGGACGGTGGGGTAGCCTAGAGGTTAAATATTAAATGGGTTCGATTCCCGAAAAGGGTACAACGTGTTAAGCCCTTTCTTTGTGTTCTCTGTCGCCATTTAGCTCGACAGACAGTCAGACATACAAATACAGACAACCAACCAGCCAGCCAGCCAAACAGCCAGACAGACAGAACTTCCGCATAACATGTTCATCTCCATTCGTGACCAACTCGTGTTATTCCGGGACAAGCCGAATGGCGAGTCGTGCCCCTCTCATGGCCATTTTTGCGACCGGGCTCCGTCTTAGCGCAAACGGGCATACCTAAAACAATTGTCAACTCGTTGCGTAATGATTCACGCATCTTTACCCATTTATTATATTTATTTCAGATGCAATTTAAAGCAGAGCTGGACATGCGGAATTATACAGTATGACCGATCACATTTAACTGTGTCTTGGGTATATTTTTAGATGCAAGACATATGTAAAATCAAAAATGATTTCTGAGGGATTCTGTGACGAAGAACTTGAAATCATACGCGCATTCTGATTGGTTTGTCGTAATTTCGGACATAACATTCATCGATAGGGGGACGAGTCTTCTTGCAGATTACGGAAAGGGGCGAGTGCTGACGAATGGTTCATCTCGTTATCAGTTGAATTACCATTCATGTTCTCTGTGTATCATTCGCTGAAACGCAGCCGGAACATCTGTTATGCAAAAATAACACGCGAAATGAAATGTAGAGCAATCTCCTTTATGCAGTAGATGCGCCCTTGTATACATCAGTATGTAACTAGGGCATGCAGTTATAATGATGGGGCCGAGAACGAGGCTGAAACGTTCACTGCCCACAGTAACACAAGAAACATGTTTTTTACTAATGGATCCGACCATTGAGGAAAGTACGACCTTTTAATCATAATAATATAAATCAATTGATACCAGCTCACGATGCGGATATAGGCATGGGTAACGTAACAGATGAAAAAATGGAATAATTTCACTCTTTATCCGAAATATTGGGATTCAATACAGCTTGATTCAATATCGAGAAGGACGTTAAACGCGTCCTAACTGTCTCTCTGTATGATATGCGCACCATGTTGGATCGGAACCAAGTCTACAGTTGCTGTTATGAATTGTCGACATCCTCGGGTAAATCAATCAATAAGCGTATTCAATGGGGAAAAGTAAGTCTTCTCTTGATGTTTTGGGGGATTTTTTTTTGCAGGAGATTATAATGATAACAATAAATATAATGTTATTAACATGCATCTTTAGTATGAAATGTAAATAGCAGTAATAAGAAAAGTAGTAGTAACGATTATGATAATAATTTTCAAGTTATTATTATTATTAGTAGTAGTTGTAGTAGTATACAACTTCGTCATTTGACGCATAAAAATTGGAACTGCGTGCATAGTTGGCACAAAAAACATAAATATCAGAGCAAACTAGAATATCAGGTACGGGCGGGACAACACTTTGCATTGGGCCTGATGCTTGCTCACTTTGAAAACTGATGTAACAGCGTTTATATGTTCAGTGGGTTTTGAAACGACGTGTGTCTTCATGTCAAAATATTCGACTGTGATTACTCCAATTTCAAATTGATTCTGGCTCTTAATTTGGGAAACGTAAGATATCTTTAATTATTGATTTGCTTGGTGAAAGGTCAGCGAAGCTTGACCGAGAGTGCACTCGGTGACTGAGCCGGACCACTGGGCGAGCGTTGTTGAAACACGAACGTCACGGTCTTGTCTGAGGAGTGCGACGCCCAACTCAGTGCATCTGACATACGACAACACTTTAAACATGACGTGAAATACATGTTTATTTGAAACAGACTGTCGGAACCGATTTAGAATTGATTCGGCGAGGTGAAATGGAGTTCAACGTCGCTTTCCAGATTATTGCACTAACAGTTCGGACTTCTGCTGGTGTTATTGTGCTAGCCCCAGATATACCATACCATATCAACGTCGGTTGTCTCGACATGGATTGTCAATAATATCTCGACTTGTAATGTCAATATTAATAAATACAGTCTACGTTGGCTATCTCGAGTTGTCATGTCGATAATAATAAACAGTCTACGTCGGCTATCTCAAGTTGTCATGTCGATAATAACTATCACTGTCTACGTCGGTTGTCTCGAATTGTAATGTCGATAATAATAAACAGTTTACGTCGGCTATCTCAATTTCTCAGTTCGATAATAATTAATACAGTCTACGTCGGTTGTCTCGACTTGTAATGTCGATAATGATAAACAGTTTTCGTCGGTTATCTCAAGTTGTCATGTCGATAATAATTATCACTGTCCAAGTCGGTTGTCTCAACTTGTAATGTCGATAATAAAAAAACAGTCTACGTCGACTATCTCAAGTTTTCATGTCGATAATAATTAATATAGTCTACGTCGGTTGTCTCGACTTTTAATGTCGACAATAATAAACAGTCTACGTCGGATATCTCAAGTTGTCATGTCGATAATAATTAATATAGTCTACGTCGGTTGTCTCGACTTTTAATGTCGACAATAATAAACAGTCTACGTCAGCTATCTCAAGTTGTCATGTCGATAATAATTAATACAGTCTACGTCGGTTGTCTCGAGTTGTCATGTCGATGATAATTAGCACTGTCTACGTCGGTTGTCATCTCATACACGTGTTGTGTTGTTAATTTCCTGTGTCTCCAATCGTATTGCTATGTGTCTATGGTGCTGTTACTTGATCTGTGTGGAGGTTTTGAAGTATATATACGTATTATTAGTTGATTTGATCATTTCGAGAATCATCCTATGTAATGGATTAGTATATTCTAAAATATTTCTAAAATCACAATCATTGATCAAATACACAACCAAATCATGTGAGATCAGGAGATATTATCGTGTAAATTTCCCATGAAATTAATAACGATGAGTTGTGTCCAATAACAAGACGAACACAAGCCATAGCGACGCTCGTAACGAAGGTGTTTGCACGTCCAAATGAAATCTACCAAATTTTGAACGGACAACACTCATCAAAGTCAAAAGTTCAGATAACTCTCAGCGAACACGTGTCAGTAACATTGCATGGCAGGGTCGACTCTTTACTTTATGAAATTGATTAGTAAAACGTGCCTTTGACATTGAGTGACAGGCTACGTGGCATGTAGCAACGTAACTGTACACTTGGGCGGTCTATGAAATACATGTTTCTTTCACTGGTTGCATGTGCGGAGCCGTGTCGACATCTCTGATGGAACAGGACAATTTAGTGTTCACACGCTCCCGAAGGAGTAATCTCAATGTTTTCACAAATCGATATGATTTTTTGATTCGGTATAGATTCGTAGTTGAAACGAGTACAAGTGATTCATTTTTAACAATATTTGGCTCTCAGGAGCTATATCCTTGTCGGTCAGTCGGTACTATGAGTACATAACAATATTTACTTTTCATATTATATTATATTTTTTAGATCCGTTTTCTCTTACATGTGCTATTTTTGCATCAAATTAGTTATGAAATACGTTTTCATTGTAGTTTGCCTTCTGGTATAAATTATATACGATTAGTTCATGTAAATAGAAATCTGAATAAAAAAACAGAGCTGGAAAAACAGGAATCGTCCACCATGGCGTCTCTGTATCCTGTACAACCGCCAGTTACAGTGTTTGCTTGTGTTAATGTTCTTTCATATGATTTAAAATAAAACTAGTGATTATTTGAAAATTGTATTATTCACAATGATATTGTCTTTAAAATACATATATTACAAACATGATGTAATACACAGACACCCTGCAAATACTAGTTTATATGTACCGCAGAGAACAGGCAACTTTGGACAACAGCAATATTGCAGCATTATTGACGGTCCGGTAGCCAAGTGGTTACAGTGGCCGCTTAATACGCCAAAAGACACGGGTTCGATTTCAATGTAGGCTCAATAGGGAAAAGCTCTTTCTTGGTGTTCCCTGCCATACGCAGAGAGATCTTAATGAGATTGAAAAAATGATAAACATATTTATTGCGACATTAATTATTTTGAAGTCGTATCATGGAATAAGGAGATGGAAATAGGTGGAAATTACAGCAATTAAATCTATACTTCAATTTTAATCGTAAATTTTAATTTTGTCGTCGATTTAATTTACACGATCTTAAATTGCAATGTTTTCTCTAGTAGATGCCCCAACACAAATGTCGTTCGTGTTTATTTACAACCGTACATACATTATCTCCACGTAGGTTTGAGTTCAGGAAATAAGATAGCCAATGTTTTCCTTCACATCTGACGAGGAAGGAAATAGAAGGGAAGGGCAGGTGAGGAAGGAGCGAACACAATGTACGAAAATGTATTTCAAGTATTTGAAATAATAATATGTGGTAAACGTGTTAATTTCATGTGTGCATATATATATATATATATATATATATATATATATATATATATATATATATATAATAAAATAATAAAGTCCACGTTAGTCCATCATCTTCTTTATATCAGTTTATATAAAGAAGATGATGGACTAACGTGGACTTTATTATTTTATTATATATTACATGTACACCGAGTGAACATTTACCTCATTTTTGTGTATATATATATATATATATATATATATATATATATATATATATATGTGTGTGTGTGTGTGTGTGTATGTGTGTGTGTGTGTGTGTGTGTGTATATAGAAATAGATATATATATAAATATATCTATATCTATACTAGTATATATATCTTTCTATATATATATATATATATATATATATATATATATATAGAGAGAGAGAGAGAGGGAGAGAGAGAGAGAGATAAGTATTGCATTTATGCTCATTGATTACACAATTAATTTTAGTATTATATTCCATTTTGTTTATGATTCTAATATTTAAATCCGTAAAGATATTTTCCTGTCTACGGTCGGCCATGACGTAGACGCGTGACATGATGTCACCACTGAGGCAAAGAAGCCTGTGCCGATCTCTCCCACTGTATTTGCAGTGTGCACGACCTTCATGACAGACACACTCATGTATGCATCAGAGACGTGCGAAGTTATAATCTGATTGGTGTAGGTTACCATGGTAATTTGAATGTGAATTTACATGGGTCAAACACAGAAAAAACAAACTATTTTTTATGTTTTGGCTCAACTTGACATAAAGTACATTTAAAACAGATTCTTTCTAATACCTTATAATCTTATACCGTAAAGTATATTCCATAGGTGTCGGCTACAAGTTTTCAAATTTAAGTTTATCGGAATGTCAATGAAGGAGTTGTCAGCTTTATACTGTAGGTTTATGCAAAATAAAATTCGTATTTTATAGGTGAGTTGTGAAATAGGGTTAACGTCGCGTTCAAGATTATTGCACTTGCATAGCAATGTGCAGGCACCTGTGTGTGCGTGCGTGCGTGCGTGCGTGCGTGTGTGTGTGTGTGTGTGTTAGTTAGTGTGTGTGTGTTAGTGTGTGTGACTACTTGTACTAGTCCGGACTAATGGTTTAATAGAGCTAGCTCATCGAGATACCACACTGCAGTGTCACAAGGATACCCCACCCAGACACGGTATAATGAAGCCTTGTTTTCACTACCTTATGTCGATCGCCAGACAGGGCAACAACAAGTACAATCTTTTTACGTAGTATTGGTATGACGCGGTCAGGGAATTGAACCACCGACCTTCCGCTCTCCGGTCAGACTTTCTATCCACCAGACCATGGCGGGGGACCCACATTCTATATATTAAACAAAACCCACATATATAGTTTAACCTCGTTAAACTGGACCCCATTTAGGCGTGCCATCTCGCCTCCCGGACGATGTTGTTGGTATCGACTATATAAATTCACATCAACATTAATCTGTACCTTTGACACATGTATTCGGATATTACACGGTTATTTATAATCCGGACGACCTTTCTGGAAAGGCTACTGTCCGGATTAACGATGTTTCAATGTACACATACACAGTATCTTTATAAATCCACCCTTAGTCCCAAACGTTTGTTTCTTCTTTTTGTTAATCTCTTCCAAGATGACATGTATCCTATAAGAGTGAGTGAGTGAGTATGGGTTTACGCCGCTTTTAGCAATATTCCAGCAATATCACGCCGGGGGACACCAGAAATGGGCCTCACACATTCTACCAATGTCGGGAATCGAACCCGGGTCTTCGGCGTGACGAGCGAACGCTTTAATCACCAGGCTACCCGACCGCCCCTCTCCTATTATAAGACGATATCTGGAGTGGGTGAGTGAGTATGGTTTGACGCCACGCCAGCAAAATTCCAGCAATATCATGACGGGGCACACCTGAAATGTGCTTCACACATTGTACCCATTTGGGAAATGAAACCCGGGCCTTCGGCGTGACGAGCGAACGCTTTAACCTCTAGGCTACCCCACCGCCCGACAGTATCTGGAGCAAGGACGGCGTGACAATAGTCATGTGACGTGCCATTCGTGACCAACTCGTGTTATTCCGGGACAAGCCGAATAGGCTCATGCAGGTTACGGAAAGGGGCGAGTGGTGACAAATGGTGCAGTACCCTCAATTCCACATGTCCCGAAATCGTAGAGAGCGGGAAAATACAAGGAACTCCACATTTAAACTCCGAGTGATATTCAATGCTACCAGTCATCTCAATAACGAATCTCGAATATTTCGTTCGGATACAATCCATTTTTAATCCCCCGGTGATAATCAAGATTATTCTTTTTTTGTTAGTTCATATTATAAGCTGATTTTTTGTCACACCGGTTCGTTTTACTACACTTCAGCAGGCTTCATGGGTATCGCCAGTTTTCTAATACAAACAGGGGCGTACAAAACTGGTTTTGTATCAAAGACGCATTCACTTTCAAACTCGATAAAACTGATACAACGTTTGTTGTCTTACCAGTTTTACAACATTGTTGACTTTGCCAGTGATGCACCTGAAGATCGGATACACATGAAAACAAAGAGTACTATATACATACGCGGGTGGGGTTGGGGGTTGGGAAGCACACTTTAACCATGTTGACAGATGAACTTATTGCTAAATCATTCAGTGACATAACTGTTTGATTGGCATTCCATACGTTGGTGAAAAAGAAACGTGGGTGTACAATGTTGTACAAAGTTGTACGTTTTCTTACTCATTTAGAGACATGTTTTCATCTAAAATAACATTTAATTGACACATTTTTGAAAAAGCAAACTCATATTGTTTTCCGTTATTAATTTCTTTAATTAATTTTTTTTTTTTTTTAACAACATAGAACCCTGTGTACTATAAAGGTAAATCTACACTCTTGCTAAATAAAGTGGGAAATCACTTCATATCCATTAACACAAAACAGCTCATTCAAGGAATGAATATAGGGATGCTAGTAATTTCAGTAAAGGTGCAATCAGCATTGTCATCACCTACACAGATAAATACAGCTGTACATATCACTCTTCCCCAACATGTTTCAATCGCAGTCTAACTCACCTGTGCGTACCTGTCACTCGGCGTCTCCTGTCTGTTATCATCATCATCGTCACACCTGACACAGGTAAATTATAATCCAGGTAGATGCGCGTCCCGACCTTTTCCTCCCAGCGTCTTAAGTAAACCCCCGCCTACGCGGAACCGTGAACGCTTTCATGCAAACCGGTACTAATGGCGACATGGTCCGCGGTTCACAAAGAGGTTGTGGTATGTTCAGCTTGAGCAACGCTGTAGCGCTCTGTAAACGAGAAGCCGTCTGACAGGGAGTTATAATTAAACCTGCAGTTGTTATGTAAGTCTGGGTCATAATGTCAACACATCCATACCCGGAGGAGGGAGCTATTTCTCCGACAAGTCTCTTAATGGTTTTATTGTATAGGCTGAGGGGAGACATGTGAGGGTGCCGCGACGACCGTTGAGGAATATGGTAGAATTAAGTCATTAACTTTGGGCAAATGCTACTAAACAATGTTGCAATAAACTAGATAATATTTGAGTTGTCTTATAACTGATAACTAACAACCTTTAAGATTGACATACAGGTATTTAAATTTAAACTAAGAGGCAGTAACACAGCTACACGCGTAGAGTTGAAACGGATAAATAAGTTCAAAGTCATATTTCTGTCCCTCTATTTCCAGTTTGAAGCGGCATACATTCGTATTATTATCATTTTTACATATTCCCTTACGTTTATGAAACAATATGCATACACGGATCTCAATGAACGTATCTAGAAGAGGTCGATATCCAACCGCAAGAGAATGATTTCGTACCACTGGGAGTAAGTCGGGTGTTTCCGTCTTGCTCCTGCTGACTGTAACCAAGGAGCAGGTTTTGTTGGGTTCTTCCGAGCGCGAAAGATGCACTTGCGCGTATGCATGCACCAGTGACAGCTGACAGCGAGTGGTAGGAAGATGGCTTGAGATTAATGCTGCTTGTACATCTTCACCAAAGGGAAGAATTTAAGCAAAATCATTCTATTGCACAAATGATGTGATATTATGTATGATAAAGCATTTCATAGACCAGGCTAGATACATCCTCAACGAGAACTACTATTACTACTACAGTAAACTACGGTTATAACGAACACGCTTATAACGAACTGACCGATATAACGAGCTTATTTTTAGTCCCGACCATTTGTTGTATAAATGCTGTTTATATGCTTATAACGAACTACGGTTATTACGAACTAAAATTAGTGGTCCCTTCGAGTTCGTTATAACCGTAGTTTACTGTACTACTACTACTACTACTACATCGATTCAAGATTACGGATTTTGATCTATTTTAAACGTATTCTTATCACAAACTTCAAAGAGAAGAATTTATGTCAATAATTCTATTGCACAAATAATGAGATATAATGTATGATAAAGAATTTTGTGGCCAGGTTTAACTACAATCCCCAACGATAAGAATGCCATTACATTCGTTTGCTCATTCTTGTCTCATCTCAATGCTCTGTTTCACCGTGTAGTGTCTCCTTGAGCTGTCTGGGCCATATGTAAAATATCCAGGTATAAGATTCAATGCTTTTTACTACATTTAGAATTGTTTATTACTCTGGGCTCAGTCAGGTATGTCGACGGACATTGAGTGCAGTTAACTAAATATAATTTGTTTGTTTGTTTGTTGTTTAACGCCGCACTCAACAATATTCCAGCTATAGGACGGCGGTCTGTAAATAATCGAGTCTTTACCAGACAATCCAGTAATTTACATCGTGAACATAGATACACGAAAATTGGGACACGATGACATGCATTAACCAAATCAGAGAGCCTGACCACCCGATCCTGTTTGTCGACACTGACGGCAAGCATTGTCGCTTTTTACGACAACCTGGGTTGCTGAAGACCTATTCTAACCCGGACCTTCACGGGTCGAAATATAAATGAAAGATCTCATACTTACATTGACGTTAAACGGACCAACATAGATTTTTATGTTGCAAGTAGGGCTGGGACGGGTAACTCAAGCACTCGCGTCGGGTGGGTCTAGAGCAGGACCCGGGTACCCACAGGACTACCCGGACCCGTGGTTAGTCACGTAATATATTGTTTAATGACAAAAACTCACTATAGCTCAGTGGTTACACTACAAGTCGCTTATGTTCGCATTTCTTTCTGACGATGCACACATTCCTTTTGACGTGTAAATGTCTGAGTAAAAATAAAGCTTCAGTCAACTTCAGAGTACGCATGATCTGATCGTTTGATACATGTATTGAAATAGTTTTTGCCCGGGCTGCGGTAAAACTATTCCCAATCAGACATTTTGCTCCCAACTCTTTAGACCTACAGCGGGAACCCGGGTATTGTCTGGTCATAGGGGGTAGGGTACCCGGGGTGTAAATTTGGACTCGTCCCAGCCCTATTTGCAAGACATGGGAATAGGAGATGAACGGTGCAAATGGCGCCTTTGAGTAATTTTTAGGTATACACGTACATTTCTCCGGACAACTTTGCAGGTAAGTATCATAGACTGTATTCGTGAACAACGCCCGGGGAAGGTAATACTTCTTGCTAAAAAACTTAATGGCGACACCTCGTTGTGAAAACCATTGTCTAAGTTGGCATTTAATCCCTTTGTGCTTTTCGATGCTATTATCAAGGTTCATCAGACAATGACAGGCAGGCTGATGTCTCTGACCACACGATTAACGAAAAACGATGACGTGTTAAAGAATCTCCTCTTGTGACCCACATTGACCGCAACAATGGATGGACGTCCGCACCCAAGGCGAAAGCTACTTTAACCGACACTGTGCTCTGGGCGAGTGTTGTCGCCTTGCATGACATAATGTATCTTATACAATTTAAAATTGTATAACTCTATTAGGGTCAATGTTGGTACTTACATCATTGTATCATTTTGGTGTTAAACGATTTTAGTGCAATAAGAAAGTATTTGAACATTTTGACCTCGAGCAAGAACGTTTGTTCAAGGTTAAGAAGATAACATTCTTTTATATGAGCTTTGGTTATTAACCCTGAAGAGATTATCTTCTGTCTTCTGTCAGTCACAATACGGAGTATAATCCTTTACAATACAAGTCATATATAAGTCGTGTCATACAATAAGTATATCATATATAATATATATCATATTTATCATATGGCCATGGAAGTGAATAGGTTCTCTTATATTAATTATACCACTGAATTTGATCTCAGATCATACAAGTTGATAGAATATGTATCAACCATACATGGGAGTTTATCCTAGATCAGACAAGTGTATAGATTATGTCTTGTAAATCATACAAGAGGCTTTAACCCTAGATCATACAATTGTATAAATTATATCTTGGAAATCATACAAGAGACTTTAACCCTAGATCATACAAGTGTATAGATTATGTTTTAGAAATCATACAAGACTTTAACCCTAGATCATACAAGTGTATAAATTATATCTTGGAAATCATACAAGAGACTTTAACCCTAGATCATACAAGTGTATAGATTATGTTTTAGAAATCATACAAGACTTTAACCCTAGATCATACAAGTGTATAGATTATGTCTTGGAAATCATACAAGAGACTTTAACCCTTGATCATACAAGTGTATACATTATGTCTTGGAAATCATACAAGAGAGTTTAACCCTAGATCATACAAGTGTATAGATTAACTTGGAAATCATACAAGAGACATTAACCCTAGATCATACAAGTGTATAGATTATGTCTTGTAAATCATACAAGAGAGTTTAACCCTAGATCATACAAATGTATAGATTATGTCTTGGAAATCATACAAGAGACTTTAACCCTAGATCATACAAGTGTATACATTATATCTTGGAAATCATACAAGAGAGTTTAACCCTAGATCATACAAGTGTATAGATTATGTCTTGTAAATCATACAAGAGAGTTTAACCCTAGATCATACAAGTGTATAGATCATGTCTTGGAAATCATAAAAGAGACGTTAAACCTAAATCATACAAGTGTATAGATTATGTCGTGTGATTCATACAGGAGACTTTAATCCTAGATCATACAAGTGTATAGATTATGTCTTGTAAATCATACAAGAGACATTAACCCTAGATCATAAAAGTGTATAGATTATGTCTTGGAAATCATACAAGGGAGTTTAACCCTAGATCATACAAGTTTATACAAGTTTATAGATCATAATCCTGGTGTAGGTAAATTCTAAAACTGTAATCCATGATTTTAAAGTTAAATTAAGCGTTGGGAACGTGGTCGCTTTGTAGACTACCACAAGTTTTTACACCAGTTCCATTTCACCATTTGACGAGCGGGGACTGGACGTTTTCAAATTTCGGCCTCCCTGTTTGACATTAAACTCGACTGGTCGCTATAACCAACTTCCCACGCCACCTAATGAGTAGACTAAAATCTAGTCTCTGAAATGAACATATCGTACATAAAAAAAACAGTTGTTCAGTTATCTTAATAAAAATATAATAAAAAGGAGCCCAGTGACTCTCTTCATTTCTGATACTGCAGTGATCTAGACTTGCCAAACATTATAGACTTGCATGGGCTGTATTTGATATATATTTGTATCAGGGTCTGTAAGACAGACTACCTAATGAGAGACTGCGCCCTTTTTGTAATCATCTAGAATCTGAAATTCATTTTCTTTTTTATTGTAGCTTTTATGATGATCTTAGGTTTGAACTTGTTAATCTTTTAAATTTTAAATCATCTGATAAGACTTTTACTGTGTTAACTGATAAGACTTTTACTGTGTTAACTGACGTCATGTCAAGCTCTGACGCCTCGTTTATCAAACTTTTAGTATCGACTATTAATGAAATGTTTAACAGGAGACAGCGTTTTACATAATATATGTCGATTGATATCTGTATATTTTAATACATTTTAATCTATTTTATTTTTCTATTAGGTAAGAAATTACGAGTGTATATCTGTTTTAAAATAGTGTCTCATAAGCCTTGTTAGGCTGGATGGTATGATAAATTTAATATGATGTACTCTTATTGTTTCATGCCATGTGACACTTTAATAAACTATGTCTGTCTGTCTGTCTGTCTCGACACAGCTGAAATATTATCGGGTTTCTAGACTTGCTCCATGTCGTGTAGGATCAAACGCAAGACTCACCTTGGACAAATACCTTAAGCCAGATGATACAGTCTGTCAGTTTTAATGTTGGAAATAGTGATTTATTTTACTT